CAAAGTTACCAGATTTTGCTTATTCTTGTTATTTTTCATCATTTTTTACCTTTTTAGCTTCTATTCATTGTCTCTCTGAACTCTCTTCCTATAAAGAGGCAATTCTTGATCCTCTTTGGCAGCAAGCTATGGATGAGGAATTTTCTGCTTTGCATAAGACTGGTACTTGGGATTTGGTTACTTTACCTCCTGGTAAGAGTGATGTTGGTTGTCGTTGGGTGTATAAGATCAAGACTAATTCTGATGGGTCAATTGAGCGATACAAAGCTAGGTTGGTTGCAAAGGGATACTCTCAACAGTATGGTATGGATTATGAGGAGACATTTGCTCCTGTTGCAAAAATGACTACTATGCGTACTCTTATTGCAGTAGCTTCGGTTCGTCAGTGGTGTATCTCTCAACGATACCCCTTTTTACCTTCATCATAACCAAGAAAGACACAAATAGCAGATCGAGATGACAACTTGCTGCGTTGTACATGAGGACGAAGAACAAAACAATTACAACCAAAAACTCTAAAGAGAGAATAATCAGGGGTATACCCATACAACTTTTCGAAAGAAGAAAATCCTGAAATATGAGAAGATGAAATTGTATTAATCAAACCTACAGCAGTAAGAACAGCTTCACCCCAAAACACACTAGGGACAAATGCAGACAACAAGAGAGAACGAGTAGTTTCAACAATGTGCCAATGTTTTCTTTCAGCAACACTATTTTGCTCAGGAGTATCTGTACACGAAATTTGGTGAATGGTTCCATCTAAAGCAAGCAGCTTACAAAATTTATTAGAAGTGTATTCCACACCCAAATCACACCTAAAACATTTGATAACAGCAGAATGTTGAATTTTAACAAGAACACGAAAGGCTAAGTATATCTTAAAAAATTCAGAACGATGTTTCATTAAATAAATTCAACAATAACGAGTGTGATCATCAATAAAAGAAACATAATATCGAGACCCTCCTTTTATGGCAACAGGAGAAGGCCCCCATATATCAGAATGAATCAAATCAAATGGAGAAGAAGAAACAGAAATACTTCGATTAAAAGGTAAAGCTGAAAATTTTACCAGTTTGCATCCACTACAATCAGAAATATCATAAGGGTGTAAATTTTCTAAAGCCCCTGTAGAAGCTAAAAATCTCAAAGGAGACGATGAAATATAACCCAGACGAGAATGCCATAAATAAAAACTAGAAGAACTCAAATGAAATGAAGACAAATCAACACTAGTAGCAACAGCAGCAACTGGCACTTTTAGCTCATCCAAAATATATAGTCCACCCTTCCTACGGCTTGTCCCAATCAGCTTCTAAGACTGCAGATCCTGCACATAACAAGAAGAGGAAAATGTGACTAAATTACCAGAATCACATAACTGACCAACAGAAGTAAGATTTAATGTGAGTTTCGGAATATGATAAACATTAGGGAGGGACAAGTGAAGTGTGACAACAGAACCAACACCTGCTAATGGCATAGGAGTGCCATCAGCAGTCATAACAGCAATAGAGGACGAAAGGGACACAGAAGCAAAAGACGAAGAATCTGGAGACATATGATGTGAAGCACCAAAATCCAAGACCCATATAGAATGTGTATTACCTGAAGAACTATGAGGCAATTGACCTATGGAAGAAGTAGACATGGCTTGAAGCTGTAAGGAGAGAAACTTCTGAAATTGCTCAGCCAAAGTACTAGGATCAGTGAATGGACCTGATGAAGCTACTGCTGCAGTATTAGATTGTGGTGGTCTATGAGCATTAAATCGTGATTAGTTGCTAGGCTTCCAAGCTTGAGATTGCTGCTGTAATTGATTCGACTGTCTCAACTTAGGATACTGAGCCTTCCAATGACCTTTATGCTTACAGAAACTGCACTCGTCAAAGGCAATTCTTGTGTAAGGTTTATTTTGATTATTAGAGGATGGCTTAGAAGACACTAATAATACAGAAGGATTAGAAGCAGAAAGAATTCCATTTCAGCATAGGACTTAAGACGTATTTCTTCAGCTAATAACTCGCTGACAACCGAGTCAACAGAAGGAAGTGGAGAACGGTGCAAAATTGAACCTCTGAGTCCTTCAAAATCACTACGAAGTGCCGTTAAAAATTGTACCAAATGTTGCTGCTCTCTACGAGTAATATAGGCAGCACATGCCTTTAATTCTGTCGATTCTGTAAGGGCCAATTGATTCCAAAGATCTGTCATAGCAGAATAAAACTCCTGAATACTCATATTATTCTAATGAAGAGCTCGTATATCATTCTCCAATTGATATTGCTTTGCAAAATTTGACTGAGTGAATAATCTTTGCAGATGATCCCAAACCTCCTTTGCTGTCTCATATTTAGCCAACTCTCTACCTATGGAATGCTCCACAGAGTTGTTAATCCAAGTAATAATTTTTGAATTGTTTGATTCCCAAGCATCTATCAAAGCAGCATAACCCTCATTGGTATTCTCAGGTTTCACAGAAGTTCCACTAATGAATCCCCACATCTTTTTACTATTAAGAAAATTTCTCATCACGTAACTCCATTACGAATAATTCTTTCCATCCAACCTCACACTCACAGATTGAAGCGAATCGTCTCTTTCAGTAGCCATAATAAAAAAATAATAGATTGCAGAAATACCAAATTCAACAGATTGCAGAAAAAGCTGTGTTTGAGATTAAGTTTTGTCCCATGAAATCTGGTTCTGATACCATATTAAAAAATCCAAAGAAAATAAAGAAGAAAAAAAAGGAGGCTAGGATTTCATTGATACTACGTAATTAATTGAATGCTAAAAGATGGTTTAACCTAAATACAAAGAGAATATATATAGGCTAAACAAAGGAAACTAAAAAGGACTATTCTACCCTTAATAAATAATAAATAATCCTATATTTCTTAACAAGAATTACATTACTAATTGTCCTTTTTCCATTTTTCGTTTTGCAGGCAGCACAAATGGAATCTGGAAAAGTAGTTCTTGTCACAGCAGCAGCAGGAGGGACAGGGCAGTTTGCTGTCCAGGTACACTTTTTATGATACAAGAATGTTTGCGAAAAGAGTTTCTAATTGTTTTCCATTGGAAGAATTTCGATGTCAGGTTACAATAAAGCATATAAACCTTATACCAAGGACCTTCCTTTTCGAATTCCTCAAATTATATCCATGATTGGATGTTTTAGGAGATCAATATATTCCCTCCTATTATATTTTAGAGGTTTTTACTGTGACGTAATATGTCTTAATGCAGCTGGCAAGGCTAGCTGGAAATAAGGTTGTTGCTACTTGCGGAGGAAAAGACAAGGCCAAGCTTTTAAAGGATTTGGGAGTTGATCGAGTCATTGACTATAAGACAGAGAATATCAAAACTGTAATTCCCTTGAAAAATTATTTATTTTTTGGTTTATACCCATCATAAGTGAAATTTTGCCTTCATAGTTGCCATTTGAGTATGCAATGCATAAGGTCTCGATCTTATCATTTATTTCCATTTTTCCCAGGTTCTAAAGGCCGAGTTCCCTAAAGGTGTTGCTATAATCTATGAATCTGTTGGTGGGGAAATGTTTGATCTGTGCTTGAATGCTTTGGCAACATATGGACAACTTCTTGTGATTGGAATGATTTCTCAGGTTCCAAGTTTATTCCATGCCCATCGACTATGTTTTCTTCATTTTCAGCACCAATAGCTTGCATTTCTCTTTCCCATTTCAACTTTCAATCTGCGTTTCTATATATTTATATATTATAATAAGCTTATCGGTTTTAGTATCAAGGAGAACATGGCTGGTAACCAAGAAATTATACGGGACTGTGTGAGAAGCTTCTAGCAAAGAGCCAGACTGTGGTATTCTACAACTTAATAAGTTCAACGCATTGATTTCTTAGTAATTGAATTTGTTTCAGGGCGAGAATACCTTCTAAGGATTAAAATTAGAAGATATGATATTCAATATGCATTCTATTTCAGGCTGGCTGTTTCTTAGCACAATATGATCATCTGTGGCAACATCATCTAGATAAGCTAGTCCGTCTTTATAACTCAGGGAAGCTCAAGGTAAATCTGCTTTTCTGGCCTTTCTTTCTTTTCTTTCACTCAGATTGCTTTGGATCTTGAGGGCATCAAGAAGTTTCGATAGCTATTCTGAACGTTGAGCTGCCATTATCTATCGAAGAGTTTTTTTCAGTTTATGCATTTTTATTTAGGGTACTCGGTCTCCGTGTGACAGGTTGCCGTAGACCCCAAACCATTTTTAGGTGTTCGTTCAGTTCCGAATGCAGTTGACTATCTTCATTCCGGCGAAAGTGTTGGCAAGGTAAAAATTTATTGGAATGTTTCTTTTATGATTCCTTTTTGATGCTTTAATGTTTAAATCGAAACACTTTGCAGGTGGTTGTCTGTATTGACCCAAAATTTTGTCAAAACTTGGCAAAATTGTGAGGGCATAATATTTGAGCACGTGAACAACTTGAGTTGTACGTGAAGGTGTAACTTATTTTATTTATAGTTCAAAATACTCTTAT